AGAAGATATTGTGGTAATATTTCTATTAGTAACTGGTATTTTTAAGTTCCTGAAATAGTTGGCAGGAGAGAGACTTAGGCTAGAAGGTCAGCTTTTTATTATTTCTAGGCTCAGGCAGGTTATTTTGATTTTATGATCCTCAGGTAAATCTCATGCCTTTGATCTAGGAGGAAGAGAAGGAGAGGTCAAGATAAAGAGGGCAGTGACCCAAGGGGAGCTGAGGCCCATAGAAGCTAAGGGGTTTGCTCAACGTTATACAAATAATAAGTAGCCGAGTAGATTTAAACTCAGGTCCTCTGATTCCAAATCCAGTAGGTTCCCTCCACCACCACCACCCTCTACTGTACCATGATAACCTCCCCTCTCTTACCTCTTGTACAACATAAGCTACTGTCATCTCCACCACCTAGCCCAGTACCTGGTATTTTGTGTGAAAGTGAATGTTTGTTGATTGAGAACTTCTATGAAAAATGGAAAACACAAACATGAAAAAAATGAAAGAAAAAAAGCATTTCTTAATTATTTTCTATGTCCCAATCACTCTTCAAAGTGCTGGGGATACAAATACAAAATCTGTGCCCTCAAGTGGTTTACATTATAATAGGAGGAGACCACAGACATGATGACCAGGGTAGAGTATTTTGATTTGGAATGTTATGACGATAATGAACAAAGTTATGAAGGCTAAATAAATGTGGTGGGTGACCAAAGCGACTATCAGTCAGGACAGCAGAGCCCGAGTCACTGGTATTTCAAGGATTACTTCCTCTGTGGCATAAGTCTGGTCTCTGCAACAAGGTGGATGGCAAAAAGGTAGAGGAGTAAAGTGAAGGATGACTAGAGCCAGGCCTAGATGTAATGGGATGACTGAAAACCACCTGTTAAGGACATCAGAGCCCCGGGGGGGGGGGGGGGGGGTTATAGTGATAAAAGGATTAAGGCCATGTAATTTGCTTTTAATTTTAGTTTGTAATGATTATTATTTTCCTATTCATTTATTTTTTCCTTCCCTTAATTTTTTTTTGTTGAATTAGACTTTTAGAAAAAAGTTAACTAGTAGTTTATCCATTCTCTAACTCATTTCAAAACATTCGATTTGTTTTGCTAATTAGTTTAGTTGTTCATTTGTTTTCAGTTCATCTCACTTTTAATTTTTAAAATGTTTTTGTACTTTTTTTAGGATCGTTGGTTTTTGCTTTTCTTGTTTCTTTCAATTGTATATTCAGGCTTCTCTTTGTGTTTTAGAAATATAAATGTTCATGGATGCCATCTGGTTGTTATGTAGTTGAAATGGATATTGTTTCATTACACAGAGTGCCTTTAATCATCATGCTTGTCTCTCTTAATGATATCTACATTCAGCTACTGCCTTAACTGTAATCCTGATTGTAGTTACTCTTTTTTTTTCTAATTCAGTGAGTAAACCTTTTTCTAGATCTTTTCTTTAAATTTGTGTAAATTCCTATGTTTTGGATATATTTCTTATAAGTAGTAAGTTGTTGGGGGGAAGTGTTCTAATTCATTCAGCAGTTTAATTCCTTTTTCTTCATGAAATCAACCACTGAATTATTATTCTTAATTTTCATTTTCTATCCACTTATACTCTGTTATTTTACTTATTTCTTTTATCAGCACAGCCTGCCATTTTGCTCTTTTTCTTTTTAAGAGCTGTCTTACTGATAAGAACTAACATTCAGCATTTTCTGCTCCTGCCCATGACAAACACAATAAAGCTTATCTTACGTTGCAAGAATCCTACTTTTACTGATAAAATCTTTTTTTAAAAAAAAATTTATTTACCCTTCTAAGAGCTTAGTTTGTAAATGATCATCTTTCTGCTATACTATCTCTCACTTCTTTGTTTCATTAACCTTTATTTGTGGTACCTGATTTTTATATCTTCCTTCTCCCATCATGCTAAAGTCCTCCATTTTGTCTGCTTCTGTCTGTTCAGTTTTCATGATATTCTTCCTTCAAATTCTTAGCCTTGGTTTTTTCAAGAACCCTTATCCTAAGTTTGACTTTTAAAAGAACAGTGGATTTATCACATCTGTACTGAATATTCATATTGAATTATCTTCCTTTTTCACTTGTTTTCAATAATAAATTACCTTGTTTTAAGTTTCAGTTCCTTGGTCAGTTTTTAAGACCCTGCTCTATTCTGTATTTATTGAGAAACAATTAAATATTCTCTCCTGATTAAGGAACTATACCTTTTCCTCCTGATAGATGATGCTCTCTTTTGTGAGATTGGTAATTTTGGGTACAGGCAGATATTATTTTCTTTTCTCCGTGGAAACCACCAACAATAACAACCACCTCCCCTCAGACCAGTAGAGACAGGACAGGAACCAAAGAATTTCCATCCCTCTTCCTTTCCCCATTGCTCCCACTTCTAACCCATAAGCCATAGCCACGGTCAAATTCAGAAAAGGGGCCCTCCCGTCTAGGCTCCACCAATACCAGCTGCATTCCGGCTACAGTTGGTAGGCAGTTAAGCGCAGGAGCAATATCAGCCAGAACAATATTTCTAGCACCTCCAGCCCCACCAGCCTGGCCATTACGGCTTTTGTCAACTGCCTCTGCGAGTGCTGCCACGTATCACCAGCATCACCAGGTTCGGGCCCAGCTCATGAAGGACTTTAAAAGCCAAGCAGAAGAATTTCTGTGTGGTCCTAAAAGCAAGAGTGAGCCTCTGAAGTTTCTGCAAGGATGTGACGGGATCAGACCTGTGCCTCAGGAAAGTGACTGGCAGTTATGTGGAGGAAGCTGGATTAGGAAGCAGTATTAGATAAGTACCTGAACCATGTAACTAGAGAGAAAGGGGCAGAGGAGAAAGATGTTGTGAGAACAGCAGTGAGGAGACTAGCCAACGGCACGCATGTGTGGAACGGGGAAAAGTAAGAAGTCAGGGATAAAGTTGAAGTTATGAATGCGAGTGACCAGTCAAATCCATTTATTAAGTGCCTTCTGTGTGTCTACTACCACTAAGCCCCTGGGAACACAAAGAAAGTTAAAAAAAAAAAGCCAGTCTGTTAGTGTACCTTTGACAGAAATAGGGAAGTTTGGAAAAGGAACGAGTGGGGACAAGGTGGGGTGGGGAGCATAATTGGGATTAGTTTGGGACTTGTTCCATTTGAGACAGACACCAAGAAACCTAGTGTGAAATGTCCAGTAGGCCCCTGGAGGTCCTTTATGTGGAGCTTCTGAAAGCAAGAAGGGCTTACTGTGTACTATATATTATGGCATGGGAGTCCTTCGAATTGAGATGATAATTAAACTCATGGGAACTGATGAGGTTACCAAGTAAGAAAAGAAAAGGACTCAGGCCAGAGCTTTAGGGTACACCAGTGGTTGGGAATCATGATAGGGTGGATGATTCCATAAAAGAGATAGAGAAGGAGCAGTTGCAGAGGTCAGATAACCAAGAGAGAACAGTCACTAAAGCCCAGAAAGCAGACTGTCTAGTAGTAAAGGAGGGGTTGCCACTACCAAGTCAGTTTAGAATGAAGACTAAGAAAGGACCATACAGCTTGGCAGTAAAAGATTATTGGACTGGAAAGAGCAGTCTCAGGTGAGTGATGAAGTACATGACAGGCATGGGGGCACAGACTTCGGAATCTCAGACAGGAGACTGAGTAGTCTGGGGAACAACCAGGATGTAATAAATGGAAAGAGGAACCGGGAGATCTCTGAACTGGAGACTGCAGCTAAGGGTCTGTGTGTGTATGAGGATTTTCATTATATGTGTAAGAAATTCCCACTTCCACTGTATAAAAATGAAGGGCGTTCTACTCTTCTCCCTAGCAGCAGAGAAATCTCACTCATTTCCCATAAAATGTAGGTGTAGTTAAACCAATCCCCACAATGTGGACAGCTGATTAAGGTATACTTAGCTTGCTGATGAATTTATGACCGCTTTTAGATATCACTACCACTTTTAGGATTTTACTGGGTTTTTTTCTTTTTGGTTCTGAACATTGATAAAAATGCCAACAAACATGAGTACTTCCATACACAAAGAAGAGGAAAAAGAGTGCACATGAAATGGTGATTTCCATTATGTATAGCTTGCTTCTAAGAAAAAGCTGTATTGCTTATCTCCCTCTGAAATTTTTTCGATTCTCTTCAATACTTTTCATTTGTTTCTACTTTTTTTTTGGGGGGGGGGTGAATTGCTATCAGTTCATAGGTATTAAGCATCTATTATGTCCTAAGCAACAGGGATAAAAATACAGACGATCCCTTCTCCCCAGGCACTTACATTCTAATGAGGGAGACAACAAATGTGTGTGTATATAAATAGTGTCAGTGTATAGTGAGCAAATAAAAATATATACAAAGTATTAAGTACAAGGCAGCCTGAGAGAGAAGGCACCAGTGGGGGAGGCGGAGCATGATCAGATCAGACCACATGTATCCTTTGCTTATCTCCCTTGAAGCTGGTGCCATTCCCTGAAAAATTTCATTGTATCTGTTTTGTAAATCGTTATTATCCCAGTCACAGTTCCACATCCTTTTGTGATATTCCACGTAAAACTTGGAAGGTTAGATGTGCAAATTATTTCATATAAACATTCAGTAGTTCCTAGGGAAAAGCAGGTGAAAAAAGAGATAAAATTTATATTTAAGGAAGTTCAGTGGGGTCTCAGGAGCGCCATACCAAATCCTAGACCTGGCTTTATATAGTCTCTGCCCGAGAGGTGCACGTCTGTGTCTCCGGTCAGTCCACATGGGGATGAAATTATAAGTCAAACTGTCCCAGTCCTGCTTCCCAGCTTCTCGGCTGACAGCAATGATGATTGGTGGCGTGGTGGCCATTAACTCCAGCCCTTCCAATGCTAATAGTATCCTGCTCTGCAGCACCTGTATTTGTACATGTCTCCCCATGTGAATTCAGGCTCCTGAGGACAGGGACTGTTCACTTTTGCCTTTGTATGTCTAGCACCTACCCTGGCACATAGTAGGGACTAATTGATTAATTGACTGATTGATTACAGAAGCTAAAGGAATGGGAAACGAAACTGCCGGATGAGCATTCTGGGAGAGAAAAGGAGGCTTCCTGACTAACTCTTGAGTTCCTTGTCCCAGCCTCCTGGAGTGAAGAAGAGGAGCCCCCGCGCAGCCAGAGTTCTGGGACAAACGAGTCACAGCTGAAGCCGTTGTGTGAAGGAGCAAATTCCACCCTGTCTTCCACTATGAACTGCATGTAGCGAGTTTACTCCATAGCAGGGGTTCTCAGTCCCAAGAGCCATCTGGTGAAATCTATCCACCCTTTCTCAGTACGTTTTTAAATGCATAGAATAAAATGCATGGCATTACAAAGGAAACCAATTGTGTTGAAGTGGTTATCAAAATATCTTTTTTGTTTTTTAAAACAAGTTCACAGATTTTACTTATAATAAACAAGAAGAAAGAAAAAAACAGATCAAAAAAGCCAAGCACCACATCGACCGAGTGCGCCGTTTTCTGCATCAGTCTACACACCTTATGGGCAGTGAAGAAAGGGAGATGCTTCCTCACCCTGCTGGGCTCTGAGGCCAGACATTAGAGTTACCCAGCATTCTCCTTCAATCGTTGTTTTTCTTTCCGTTTACATTATTTCAGTCATCATGTATATTATTTTCCAGGCCGAACTTACTTTGCATCAGTTTATGGTATTCCGCTGCATTCTCGTACTACCAATTCTCTAGCCATTCCCTGGTTAATGAACATCTACTGCATTCCCATCGCTTCACTGTTACAGAGATGCTTATGTCAGTTTTTGGGTGTCTGTGTTTTTCTCTCTTGACGCTTGATAGTTTGAATTCAACTTTCACAGACGTAATCAAGGAAATTCCGATTTCTCTTGGACTAGCTGTATTATGCTAAATTTCAGACTGCACATTGTTCTGCATTAACTGAATTTCCTGTGGACAGCATTGTTGAATGTTTTGGGGGGGGTTTAATCCTTTTTGTGGTTGTTTTTCTTTACATAGAGGAATTCAATCCATTTAATTTGACATTGCTAGGTTAAGGTTTAATATTATACTTTGGTATTTTTTCCATATTTGTGTTGACAAAGAGAATACTAAGTTTTGTATTTCGCTTTTATTACCAAGACATGTTTATTACTAAACACCATTCCTATATTCCATGGGGACAGAAGCCAAAAATCATGATTTTGTTGGAAACCTCCCAACATTGAACCTGGTTTGTATAAATCCAGATCTGGGTTATATCTGAGTGAAGGATAGGAAATTAAGGAACAAAATTAAAAGTACAGAAATTAAAAAGAACCTGTAAGCCTAGCTTGCTTGCTTGCTTCAAGAAAACCGAATATCCTGAATCCATACTGAAAGCAATTAAACGTCAAGAGAAAACCTCCAATATCCCTTCCAGTGATTCTTTATTATATCAAAAAACACTAATCTAAGTGTTGCTTTTAGTGAGTAGGATTAGTAAATCAGTGGTTTGTTGAACAGTAGTGGGCAATCAGTTGCTGCACTCATCCCTAAAATGAAATACAGTAAAATCTTAATTCATCAGAAGACACAAGAAACAGGCATTCTTATTCAGATTTTTTTTTAATTGCAAACTTTTTACGCCAGTCCTTGTTCAAAATCTGTTACATATGACTGCATGTTTCTCTTAGTAAATAAAAATACAAATAGAATATAATTTTATCCTTGATGATTGAAGGTCACTGGAGAATCATTGTCATAAGAGCCTCTTATTGTCAAGATAATGAATTCAGTTTTGGACATGTTGAGTTTAAGATGTCTTCTGGACACCCAATTCAGGATATCTGAAAGGTAATAAGAAAGGTCATACCAGAACGGGTTGAGAAGGGTTTTAAAAGCCAAAGGAGCTTAAATTTGATCATCAAGGAAATAGAGTGCTTTGGGAGTGTATTGAGTAGAGAAGTGTGACATGATCAGACCTACACTTTAGGGAAATCACTGCCACTGTGTAGAAGCTAGATTGGAGAAGGGGCAGACAGATTTAAGGAAGAAAGGCCAATCAAGAGGTTGTTGTACTCATCTGGGTGAGAGGTCATAAGCCCATGAATTAAGGTGGTGGCTATGTGAGTAGAGTGAAAGGGACTGACTGAAACAGTGTCACATGACCAGCCCATCTTCTGCTGATGACATCTTTTTCTCCCATTTTTTGAAGCTCTTCATTGGATCCATGGGCCACACTATTGTAACAAAAGTGACAAAACCACATAAATTGATTTATTGCCATACCGATCAAACCACCAAAGGATTGCTTTATACAGCTAGACAAAATAATAAAACTCATTTGGTTGGGGGCAAGGAAGGAGTCAAGAATCTCAAATAAAGGTGAAGGAAGGTGAGCATTTTTCCTGAACTCTCCCAATATTCCCCTCTAAACAACTTTTATAAGTGTATCAAATCAAATTCTAAATGCATAACTAACAGAAAGTCAAAGTCAGTCATTTTTTCCTGCCCAGGACAACTTAGGATACAGAAGAAGAGGTCTGAGGACACTAGAGTTGGGGCTGGGTGGGAGCATGGAGTAGTAGAAGCAATACTAGCTGTGGGCCTTGGAGGAAGCAATGGCAGCGGCAGCAGGAGCACTGAGTACCCAGAGATTTAAAGGTGCTGAGCACTTGGTCAGAAAAATTACGGCGGGTCCCTATGCTAGCACTGGGTACAGGACCAGGCTCGATTTGCCAACTCTGTTGCCCATTACCCAGTTCCAGGTCACAACTCCAAAGTGGAGATGAGCACTTGCAATCACAAGGGAGCAGGAACTCTACTTAGGTAAGGACCGGAGCACAGACTGAAAGGGTACTGACTACACTTCTACTTGAATCGTACCACCTTGAAAGCAGTGAAAACTTACGAGACACCCCCCCCCCCAGACCTAACTATAAAAACAGCAGAATATAAAAGCCCTTTCTCCACTAGAGATAAGCACAGCCCAACTCTAGCAAAGTCCAAAGTCAAGAAATAGGTGGGGGGGAAAAATGATAAAACAGCAACAACAACAACAAAAAAGAACTTGACCATAAGTAACTACTGTGGTAACAAGGAACGCCAAGATAAAAAAATCAGTAGAAGATAATGACTTGTAAATACAAATAGGTCTTGCTTTACATAAGTGGACTAGTCCACAGATCTCTACATAAAGCAATTTTTACATAATGCAAATTTGCCTGCAGATGTGGGGAAGGGAAGGAAGAAGGCAGGAAGGGAGCTGTGTACCTGTGGAAGAAGGGTGCCAGCACACAGTTCAAGGATATGTGGGGGCAGGAGACAGAAAAGAGAGCAGGAGGAGGACCACAGAGGAGCCAAGGAAAGACACATGGTGCCCAGGCATGGATAGACTGATAGATGCAAGGTTGAACACGAGGTTGGGAAGGTGGAACAGGGCAAAGATCTCTTCTCAGCACCAGAGCCCTCAAGTCAAGCCCCTAATCCTGTGGTGCTGGCAGTGGTGGCAGTCTCTCCATAAGTCTGTTCTTCCACTTTCACTTGGAGGGTTTTTTGTTTTGTTTTATTTTGTTTTGTTTTTATGGGAAGTGGGGTGGAAGACCACAAAGCACTGAGCCACAGGGCAAGAGCAGAGGGAGAGCACAGTACTGTACAATGGAGTAAGAGGTGTTTTTTTGGAATGCAGATTTTTTTCAGAATTCTTTATGTAAAGTCAAGTTTGTGTAATGTAAATTTACATAAAGGAAGAATTGTATCTACTAGCAAAGCCGCAAAGAAAAATGGAGATTGGACATAAGCCCCAAAAGAATTTCTAGAAGAGTTTTTTAAAAGAGATTTTTAAAAATTTAGAAATCAAATTGAGGAAAAAATGAGAGAATTCAAGGAGATTATGAAAAAAAAATAGCTTAGTAAAATAAGAGGCACAAAAAATGCTGAGGAAAATAATTCCTTAAAAGCAGAATTGACCAGTTGGTAAAAGAAGTACAAAACCTCACTGAAGAAAATAATTCCTTAAAAATTAGCATTGGTCAAGTGGAAGCTAATGACTCCATGAGACATTGTTCACCAGTTTTTCAGTAGTGTCCAACTCTTTGTGAACCATTTGTGAATCCATTTGGGGTTTTCTTGGCAAAGATAATGAAGTCGTTTGCCATTTTTTTCTCCAGGTCATTTTACAGATGAGGAGACTTAGGCAAACAGGATTAAGTTGACTTGCCTAGGGTCACACAGCTAGTTAAGTGTCAGAAGCCAGATTTGAACTCAAGAAGATAAGTCTTCCTGACTCCAGGCTTCACACTCCATCCACTGTGCCACCTAGATGCCATTAGGAAATAATAAAACAATGTCAAAAGAATGAAAAAAATAGGAGAAAATGTGAAATATCTCACGGGGAAAACCAACTGACCTGGAAAATACATCAAGGAGAGATAATCTAAGAATAATTGAACTACCTGAAAGCCATGATCAAAGAGCCTAGACATCACATTTCAGGAAATTATAAAAGAAAACTGTCTCAATATCTTAGAACCAGAGGACAAAATAGACAATGAAAGAATCCACCAATCACCTCCTGAAAAAGATCCCAGGAATGTTATAGCCAAATTCCAGAGCTCCTTGATGGAGGAGAAAACAATGAAAGCAGCCAGAAAGAAACAATTCAAATACCCTAAGGCCAAAGTCACACAAAATTTAGCAGCTACTATTATAAAAGAGCAGTGGGTTTGGAATATGATAATCTAGAAGGCAAAGGCCCTAAGAATAACCTACCCAGCAAAATTGAAGATAATCATACAGGGGAAAAAATGAGAATATTGAATGAAATAGAGGATTTCCAAATATTCCAGATGAAAAAACCAGAGCTGAATAGGAAATTTGACATTCAAACACAAGACTCAAATGTAAAAAGATAAACATAAGTGAGAAATCATATGGAACTTAATAAGGAAAATTGTTTGTGTTCCCAAATGGGAAGATGACACGTAAGCCCTAAGAACTTTGTCATTATCAGGGCAGTTAGAAGGATACTACATAGAGAGCATGGGTGTGAGTCTATTATGTTGGAATGATCTGAAAAGGAAAGGATGAGAGAGATGTACGGGAAGGAGGAAGAAAAGGGAAGAGGGGAAATTATCTCACATATAAGAGGTGCACAAGGAAGATTTTTTACAATGGATGGGGAAACAGGTGGAGAGGGCAATGTTTGAACCTCACTCTCATCTGAACTGTTTCAAAGGGGAGAATATGTATACATACACAGTTGGGTATAGAAATTCATCTTACCCAATAGAGAAATAGAAGGAGAAAGGCACTTAAGAGAGGGGAAGGAGTGATAAGAGAGAGATTAAAGGAGGCAGTAGTCAGAAGCAAAAATAGACTTTTGAGGAGAG